TCGGTGAAGCACTCAATGGATGCCATGATAGAGAGAGAAAGAGCAACGGGCTTCTAAGGGAAATGTAAAACCCCAAAGTAATAATAATTCCTTTACAAAGAGGACTTGCCTTCGGAGTGTAACACTGAGTCAAGATCTCGCATTTTCACTCATTTGCGTCCAAGTTCTGAACTTTCTCCAAAATCATCACTACTTTGCTTTTCTCCCATTATTAACAACTATCAAAACCAAAGCTCCGAAAACATTTATTTAAAATAATCAAGAAAAGAAACCAATGATTCAAACCTTCAATTCAGATCTATATTGAATAATAAAAAAAAAAAGGTTGATTATTTTCAGATTTGTAGTTGAATGCATCAGCAAAACAATCCACTCTTAGTACTTTTTCCTCACATTTTCAAGCTTGGGGGGTCATTCGGGAGGTCGACCTCCCAGTGCAAAATCTTCACAAAATTTTGCTTGAGGTGGTCATCTGAAAGGACATCCGGGAGACATACGGGGGGTCATTCAGTGGTGAAAATACAACGGTAATGAACAGTATTTTGCTGAATGGCACACATCCTATTTTGGTGAAAAATTTGGGCCATTCTCAATTTGATATCGTTTTGGTAAAACCGTTGGAGACAAAAAAAGCTTTCCTTTTTCACCAAATTCAAATTTGGTGATGAATTTGATAAACCGTTGGATATGGTCTAAACTATCAATTTCACCAAAATTGCTAGCCAAACTATTCAAAATCTCTCCAACAGACTAGTAAAAAACTAGTCAAAATCGGGAGCTCGTTCAAGAATTAGTAATTTTTTGAATTTTTTTTAAAAGACATGTAATGAATAATAACTAATTGCTTCAATTGAGAGCTCGTTTGAGAATAAACTACTTAAAGCACTATTTGGCATAAAATTAAATACGTGTACTAATTTAGATCACATTACTTATCTATTTTTCTGTACATCTTTTTATAAAAAGTCAAAAAGTATATTAATTTATATCATCCCAAACAACCTCTTAGTAAATTTTTGAATTTTTACTAAAACACATACGTAGAGAGTTTTTGCTAACTATATTGGCTTCGTTTGGGAAGCAGAGTTGGGATTATTTTAGTTACAAAAAGACAATAAGATTTTTAGCCTAATAAGACAAAATATCACATTCAACCCATAATTATTATATTCTTTCTATCACAAAAAAGTAAAAAGTCATTCCCAAATGAGATTTTTTAGCTCCAAGCTAAAATAATAAAAAAGTCAAAAAGTCAATACACTTTCCAAAAGAACCCATTGCCTTTTTAGGATTGTTTTGGGTATAAACATATAATTTGACTTTTTTACTTATTATAGAAAGACGTACGGAAAAAATAAAAAGATAATATAATAAACTAATAAATTGAGTTTTTTAGTTTATCTAAATAGACCTTAATGTTGCCAAATAGCACATGAGTCACCATTTTACTTCCTTTTTCTTTCATTTTATCTCACAACTACATTAAATGAATATATTTTTTAAAATATAATTAAACTAAACAAAGTTGTTAGTGTATATTAAAAAAAAAAAATTTTGATTAGATATTAGTAATAGAGATGCTTTGAAAATATTGGCTAGCAAGAGCGAAAATTTTACGATAAATTATTAATGAATGATCAAAGAGTTATTACAGATTCATGAAAAAATCATAATTTATAATTGTTAATATTTATAAAATGGATAAGGACACACGTTAAAAATGTAATTAATGAGTTTAAACTACCTCCATTTATATGAAAAATGTAAAATACAAATAAAAATAAATATGATAATTTTTAAAAACTAGATATATTTCAACATGGACAAAAATGCCCTCACTTTTAGAATATTGAAATTCACCTATTTATAAAAATATAAAAAATAAATTAGTATTATCCTCTTGAATAAAAAATAAAAAATTAAAACATTATAAATAAAAAATGGATTTATAAATCACATAAAATAATAGTACTTTTTTTTATTTAGAAGCTCATTATTTAAGGTGAAACAATTTCTTCAAATGAATTAATGAATTTCATTTACAATTAGATATTCATCCATTAATGCTATAATATTGGAATAAATAAAAAAAAAATACAATCCATTGATGTTATAATATTACAACAAAAAATAAAAATAAAATGCATTTCAATTTATTTCAAATAATCCCCAAAAACAAAAAAAAATCATTGATGTTATAATATTACAACAAAAAATAAAAATAAAATGCATTTCAATTTATTTCAAATAATAATAAACTAAATAAATAAAAATGTTTTATTTAGAATTGTATAATCATTGTATATGTTACAAATTTAAATATATATATATATATAACTATAATAAAATAAAATAATAGAAAGAAAATTAGTGGGTGAAATTGAATAAAATACAAATAGGGTATTTTGGTCTTTATATAATAAAGAAAAATTCTTTAGTAATAAGTGTTGCTATTAACACTTCATCAATTATTTTGGACTCCCAATTTTTTAGCCTTTTTATTTTATTTTATTTTTTATTATAATAATAATCTCAAATGAAATTACTAAAATGGATATCCCATCTCATAATTGAGTCTACACACCTATTACATCATGAGTTAAGGTTTATGAAAGCACCCACCTCCATTATCACCCATACATCTTTTTCAAATCTGACCTTTAAAACTTACCTACGCTCAAAATCTGGAAAATTCTTTGGCGGCAATATTTCAGTGGTAATGGTGATAACCATTTAATTACCTACACTTTTCTAACAATGACAATGAGTGGAAATTTTTTCGGCAATCACAACTTCATAAGACGAGAGTAGTATAATAATAAAAGTTCAGAGAAAGTTCATAACTTTGATGGTGTTCTTGGCTCAAATGAGGTTGACTTTGTAAGGATAAGTTTCTTGAAAAAAATAATAAAAATAATAAAATATGTTCGTCATTTTTTCAGGACTAAATTTTGGAACATATGACTGAAATTCGGGATCACAAAACCGAACATTGTTTATTTGTTCAGGAAGAGGTAACTGAACATTTTTTATTTGTTCAGGAACAGATAACTGAACATTATTAATGAACATTTTTCAAACTTTAAAATCACAAAACTCAATTAAGATAATGAACAAGAATTGAAATTGTCAGAGAATTCAAAGAAATCCACCTGAGAGATTACAAATCTAAACTCGTGGAGATCACATAACCTACAAAAGGAGAATTTTGAATCAATAACAAAAAAATTCTTACATTTAGCTTCTCAGGTCATGAACAAGTATATGGAGATAAATTAGTATTCACCTTCATGGGTTTTGACATTATTTGGGGAAAGAAATCTTTTTTCTAAAGCTTTAAAATTTATAAGTAAGGATTCAAAAAAATAAAAGATCCAAAATAATTAATAGAGTGCTACACTCTTAATAATTGCTTTAACAACCTTTATTACTTTCTATACAAATAGAAATAATTACACTTATTTAATACCTTTCTTAAAGAGTAGTGCTATTTACACTTACCTTTTTATTTAGGACCCTATCTTTCATATTTTTTTAAATTTTAATTTTATCCAAACATGAAATTCCAAATTTACCCTCATTCTAACCTTCCAACCCTAATTTTCAAACCCTAGATCACCACTGACTGCAACATTCTTCCTTCGGCTACCTTCAACCCCTCTGATGCACCACCGCTGTCGCTATTCCTCTACCGTCGCCATTGTTACCTTTCTAATCGGTATCAACCATAACCACCAATACCAAAAAAAAAAAAAAAAAAGAAAGAAGAGAAACAGCGCCGTCACTACCTTTTTGGGAAAAAATTTCAACTTTACTGCAATTCAATCTTTTCCACAAATTGGGTTTTGAAGAAAATCACCACAAGGGTTTTGAAGAAAACCACCACAATGTTTTGCCTCAGCCTCTAATTGATGATGCCAAAGAGAATAATGTGGCGGTGGACGGTGGTGGAGATCAGATTGTTGGGAAGAAGAAGAAGACGAATGAGGAAGAGAAAGAAGAGGGAGAGAGGGAGGGCGCGGGGCTCGCCGGAGTAATAGTGCCAGAGGTAGAAGGGAGAAGAAGAGTTGGGGTTTAAAGAAGGGAATATATTTGGTATTAAGGTGGGTGGTCAAAGAGAAAATGATATGGTTTTAATTATGTAAGTAGGGTCCAAAGAAGTAGGGTCCAATGTAAATAAGTATAGGACATTTAGCAACCTTCTTTTTAAATGGTCTCAGGATACATATTAATAAATCAACAATGATTCATCCCCCCTTTTCTTCCCACCCCCTTTGACTCTCCCTCTCTCTCATTGGTTACATTTTAATTGAAGAAAACCACCACAATGTTTTGCCTCAGCCTCTAATTGATGATGCCAAAGAGAATAATGTGGCGGTGGACGGTGGTGGAGATCAGATTGTTGGGAAGAAGAAGAAGACGAATGAGGAAGAGAAAGAAGAGGGAGGGAGAGGGGGAGGGCGCGGGGCTCGCCGGAGTAACACTGCCAGAGGTAGAAGGGAGAAGAAGAGTTGGGGTTTAAAGAAGGGAATATATTTGGTATTAAGGTGGGTGGTCAAAGAGAAAATGATAGGGTTTTAATTATGTAAGTAGGGTCCAATGTAAATAAGTAGGGACATTTAGCAACTTTTTTTTTAAATGGTCTCAGGCTACATATTAATAAATGATAATTTTACATATATTAATTAATATATTAATTAGTGTATTAATACTAGTTATAATAATATTATTAATTATATTCATTAAATAAATTATAAATATTAAATTTTTTTTAAATTATGTTATATTATCAATTAATACACTAATTAATACATATAATATTATTTATTATTAAAAGCTTGTAAAATTTATCGCTTATTTATAAATTTTATAAAAAAATTATACCGAATTGAAAATTTTTTAACATTTTTTTTGGATACACTAGTCGGTGAACTACTAATTTTTTTAAAAAAAGAATAATTTATTAGACTTTTTTATTCCAACCAAACGTAGCGTAATTCTCTGTGTGTAGGGTGGGGCCCGCTAGGCGGCGGAGCGGATAGAGCTGGTGATGACTATAAAAACACCTCGATGATGGGAGTTGAACACAAATTTCTGGGATTTCGAAACGATCCGATTGGCGACGAAGAACCATCATCGATATTCTTCTTCTTATCATTAGGTACGTATAATCATCATATCATATTCTCTTACTAGGATTTTACGGTTGCAATAATCAATCTATTCTCAAATTTCAATACTATCAATTGCTTGTTATTCTTCCCAGAACTCGAGAAAAGGATTTCTGTAATCTATCAATGGCCGACTCTTCTTCATTGATTGATCCTGAGCTTGTAATTTCTCACAAGTTCCCTGAGGTATTCACTTGAATTTTGAAATTTGGAATCATATAGTGCGGTACAGTTAAAATTATGTATTCATGTATGAAATCGATCAAAATGAACTTCATATTACCGAATCTAGATCTAAACAACAACGAAAATCAGTTCAATTCAACTTCTAAGTCAATACAATTGAGTTCATTAGAGACACTAAATATATATAGAAATTCGATCAATCATAATTTGGATCTTTTCCTTGTATATGTTTTGATATAATTAGGGTTTCAAAATTGTAGACAGAGAACAAGGAGAGATGACTCTTCATCTTGGTAATCTGGTTCCAATATAGAGTGAGAGAGTGATTGTTATCTTTACAAACAAATTCACACACACACACACACACACACACACATATTTACATATAAAGACAAAACTTGGAATGGGAATACTCCAAGTGTGTTCATATGGTAAAAAACTGTAAGGATTGAAATGTTGACGGAATATAGTATAGATGTGGTTCACACCAAATTAGGGTGTTCACATTATATAATATAGTATAGATGTCTGGAATCTTGTCTCTGCACATTTTTTTTGGAGTTTTGAAAAGAGTGATTTATTTCATAATTGTACCTCATTGAATATGGGCAAATTATGGTATGGCCTCCAGATCTTTGTAAGGAATGAAGGTTTTGTGCATAATGCATATTTAAAATAAAAAAAAATAAAATTATGCTCTTTGTTAATAGACTGTTTGTGAAACAAACTCTGGTAATCTGTCATTTCTTGGTTTTACTTGCTTATAAGGTTGACTATGTATTGCACCATTTCTGTGGTTTTGTGCATAATGCAAATTAAAAATAAAAAATAAAAAAATGAAAGCACTGTGCTCTATGTCAATAGACCTGCTTGTGAAACACACATTGGTTATCTGTGTCCTTCCTTGGTTATGTATTGCACATTTTCTGAGACTGGTTGTAATTTATTTCCTTCTATGGTACTGGATATTTGGGATGGATCGCAGACGACGTACACTTATACTGAAAGGTAAGAGCCCTAAACATATTGGCCTTTTGCAATATATATTCCTGCATTGAACTACTTATAAAAACACAATTGTATTCTCTTCCGTTTATTATAGTTGTTATTTGTTAGTATTTAGTAGTACTTGGTTTTTTTGTTGGTAAAAAGCCAATTTTTTGGCTTTTTGGCTTTTTTGGGTCACACAATTTCTTTACTTTTTTTACACAAAAAAGCCAAAAAGTCACAAAAAAGTCAAAAAGCCAGCTTTTTACCAACCTCCAAAACACCACATAGTTATCATTATATTTATTAGTTTATCTTTTGCTCCAGGCAAGTAAAATGATGTTTCTGTTTTATTAATAGAGATGCAGCACTCTATGCTCTTGGTGTTGGAGCATGTGGAAGGGATGCCTTGGATAAATATGAGCTCAAATATGTTTACCATGAAGATGGCCAGCAATCCATCCAGGTACTAGAAAATGGAAGTATTTCAGTTTACATGTACCGTATTTTTTAAAGACAAATATAATATTTATTATTTGAGCTACTTTGTCTTTCTCTTTTCTGCTTTTTTCAGCATTCTCAAAATTTAAATAGAATCCGCTCAAGTCAGCTCCATGGCTTGGACATTTTTAGTAATCTAGTTTATCCCAAATGTTTGTGATTCACTTTCTTTTTGGTAATGCCTGTGGATTTTATGTAAACTTCTTAAGTTGTTTTCCTTTTGATGGTCTGCATATTCTTATGGCTTGCCATGCTACTTGAATCTGGAACAGGGTAATGCCGTTGTGAATCTTTTTTTGATGGAATTGACTGCAATAGTGAAAACTCTCTCTCTCTCTCTCATGTCAAAATTTGCACTTTGTAGGTCCTGCCAACTTTTGGTGTTTTATTTGCTGTTGGATTTCTTTCACATCTTTCTCATGTACCAGGGTTGCAGTAAGTGTTTAATATTTATGAATCTGAAAATTGAGAGAAATTTTCTTTTTCACCTTTTTATACATGAAAGCTAGCTTCTAGACCTTTTTATACGCTATATGCTTTAAGTAGCAAATGCTGGGTCTTAGATTATGCTCTCCATGTCTTTATGCTATATGTTTGCCTTGTCAAATTGAACACTAATTGAAATTCTGTTTGTTACTGTCTCCAGACACGACCCGCGTCTTTTATTACATGGACAGCAATACATAGAAATCTACAAGCCATTTCCTTCTAGTGGTTGTGTAAGGATCTTGACCAGAAGCTCCAGTTTGTAGTCTGATGAATGCCTGAAATCCTTCTAGTTTTTGCATATTCTGTGGTTTTGTGCTAATGTCAATGAGTCTAATTGGAAAGGGCTATAATGTTGGTCTACCAACGTTAGAAATTGTTGAAAGCTTTGATCTGATTTATCAAGGAGAGAATCTGGTTGTAAAATAAATTGATAGAGAGAGAATAAAATTGTATGTATTATTGATTGATATGTTTATATACCTGTATATTACAAATGGTTCCTTATATAGATGTAGGTGTAGTGGAGTAGGTGGTGGTAGGTGAGGAGTAGGTGAGTGTAGTAGGTGAGTGTGTGGTAGGGGGGGGGGGGGGTGGGTCTAAATTTCTCTCAGCCAACTGTATATGTGCTGAATTGATTGTTATTTATTTTTCATTTTTTGTGACTTAATTACCTATATCTTAATTTTATTTGCTTCAATTGTGTTGGTGCAGATGCAAAATAAAGCAAGCATCTCCGGATTGCATGATAAAGGTTCGTTTAGAAGGTGAAATAGCAATATTTAACAATAAATATAATTCTTCATATCTTTTTACTGGAAGTTTCCAACCAAAAATAAGTAATTGGAAAAAAAAAAAAAGGAAGGGAAAATAAAAATATGGTACCGTGCGTCATCCATGATGAGTTTCACAGCAGCAAAGAATGGTGGTTTTCTTTTGTTACACGCTTTCAAGCCATATTACCTTCTACAATTTGTGACGAAGATCTTGAATGAAGCAATTTGGAAATCCATGTTTTCAAAAAGTGGGATTTCCGCAATGCATCACTTTCAAAGTTTACCTCTTTTATGCTCAAATTTTAGGAAGTTAGTAATAAAGTATGATTTCATGCTTCTTGATATCTTTGAAGATAGAAGATCATGTTATTAGTAATGATGTAGGTTTTATATCATCATTATTATTTCTTTTCTTTTTTGCCCCCTCCTTGTGCAGGTAAAGCAGCAATTCTTGAGGTAGAAGTCATAAGTTATGAGAAAGAGTCCAGTGAACCAATCTGCTTGAACAGGTAAATTTTTGTTTTTGTAGTAGATGTAAAGATGTTTATTTGTAATTAACATGACAAGGACAATGCAATGCAGAATGACTGTCTATCTGAGGGGTGCTGGTGGCTTTTCAAAATCATCTCACCCATACTCCTATAGCAAGAATTCAGCAAGCCAGAATTTAGCTGCTAAAATTCCAAATAGGCAACCATTTGCAGTTTATGAGGAATGCACTCAACCATCTCAGGCATGTAGCATTTACGTTGTGCTGAAAATGATATTTGAAAATTACATTCTCTGTACTACATGTGCTTTATTGTAAATTGTAATTTTACACATAAAGTCGTATGCACTAGATAGGTACCACACACATGAACGTGTTGCAAGTGCATGTATATGATTTTATCCCTTGGGATAAGCGAGGAGGAGGAAGAGAGAGATGGGAATGTGAGTTAGTTGTAAGGAGTTCTCATATATTCAAAATCGCTTGAAAGTGTTTCAAATATATATATATATTAAGGTCATTCGTGGAATGGCAAAGGAAGGATTGATCCAATATCCATCCCTCAAAAGTAGATGGGTGTTTTGCTTTCTATTATAGTATAGAAGATCATGACACTTGGATATGAGAGAGGGACAGAGATGAGGGGGAGGAGTGGGTGGACAGGCGGATGAGATTCATGATTGAGGCGGAAGGGGATGGTTGTCTGGATGCTCATTGAATTTCCTCTCTCAAGACAAGGCACGCTTAGACCAGTCTTAAAGAAAGAGGGGCCTTGACCAAGACCTATGATACCTCAATGGTTGTATCATACCTACCCCTGAGCCATTCTCACAAAATCGAAAAGAACACATCATATCTACCAATTTTCCACATATGATGTGCCTCTAATTTGAGTAGTCAAGGGGTTGAGCCACTTGTCCCTAGCTGAGATGGCCTTCCCTGGCTCACCACCCTATGTAAGGAGGTCTCCTATGCATGCAAAGAACACCTTACACTCTCCACGGTACACACAACTCCTAACTGCCACCCTTTCTCTCTCATCAGGCTGCCTTGGCTCTCTCCTCACCCACCTACATTGGTCTCCAACCATTTGCTGACCATCTTCCTAAAGGGTACCCCTCTACCAACTCTTCACCTTCCATTCAGAGTTGCATAACTGGGTTGGGGTCACCCCCCCTCACTCCTGCGGCCCAACCTGATTGGGTTTTACGCCCACTCCCCAAACCTGCTCCATTAGGGTCAGAGGGGAGTTTAGAAACCTGGCTTAACAAATCGAAGAGCTATATTAGCATTTTTAAAATTGCAGCACATTTTTTGAGGTCAAACAATTAAGGGATAATATTGGAAAAGTAATTATGGGAGTTCGGAGGTTTAGTGTGATTGCCTCAATAATCAATTGCATGTATGCCAAAATGAGCTTTTTCAAAGAGTCATTTTGAGATGGAAGGTGTGCTGTGTGTAATTCTGTTTGGTATATTAGTCTTTGAAGGATTCTGAACCTCTCTCTCTCTCTCTGTGCATTGTTGTTTGTGTTAGACAAGATTCTCAACCTTCATTGCTGTTATGCAGGCATTGCTGTATAGGCTATCCGGTGACTATAATCCATTGCATTCAGATCCTAAGGTTGCAGAAATTGCAGGGTTAGTGCACCAAATAATTCAAAACTGCATTCTCTTGCCATGTTTTTATTATTATTATTATTTTTTTTGTTTACGCTCTATTAGACGTGCTGCTATTGACTCCTGGGACTATGCTTCATTTCCCATTGGCAAGTTTATGCATTTTCAGCCAACATAATAAATAATCAATGATTATTGATGCATTCTTGGCTGTTTTAACTTCTTTAGAGCTTATTCACCCCAAGAAAACTTCTGTAGGGCTAAGCATCTAAACTGCGTATGCTTTGTACAATGGGATGGTTGGAGCTCACATTCAACTATTGCCCATGACTGGAAAATAAAACAAAGAGAGAAGGAATAAAAATTACATTGGCAAGGGAAAATAGGTTTTGGATTGTGTAGTGTGGGTCATTTCCTTTAGCAACGGTGGTTACATCTCTTTTCCTTTGAAGACATTTAATCAGATTACCTTCTCTCACACTGTTGCTCCATGTAACAACAGTTAACTGGAGTCCCTTTTCATTTGCTACATTATAGACTGCCGATTTCTAGAAAACAGTTGAATAGACAAAAGGTACATGCAGAGAGTATATTGTTTGCAAAAAGTGAAGTGCAAACTGCTTTTTTTTCATTTTATTTTTTTCCCCCCCGTATATTTTGAGTTCCTGGGAGTACGAAATTGCATTTCATAAATCTGTTTTTATTTTCCCTTGCATTTTCAAGGAATATTGCACACTAATGTCATCTATAGAATTTCATGAGATGGCTTTTTTTTTCTTTTTTTCTTTTTAAATTGTGAAACTACTACTGATAGTTTTGGCTATATTGTCTGTGATGGATAATAAGAGGGGAATCAGGGATGGATGTATTCCTTTTAAATGGTTCGGTTATTTAAAATAGTATGTATATATATATATTTGTTTTTATTATATTGGTCATGCATCTGCCCTCATAGTTTGCTCTATTTTGTTTATCATTTTTCCAAAGATTTTCTCGCCCGATACAGCATGGGTTGTGCACAATGGGCTTTGCGGTCAGGGCTATCATCAAGTGTATCTGCGGGGGAGACCCAAACATGATCAAAAACATCTCGGGACGATTTCTTTTACATGTCTACCCTGGTGAAACCTTGATCATGGAGATGTGGCTTGAAGGCTTGAGGTAGATCTTTCTTTTTCTTTTTTATTTTTTCTGGGGTCAATTTTTCTCTTCCTGAGTTGTGGTTTTTTGTTCGTGTTCATGTGAAGAGAACTTTAATAAAACTAAAAACTGCGCAGGGTTGTATATCAGGTAAAGGTAAAAGAACGGAACAAGGCAGTGCTTTCTGGCGTCATTGATCTCACTCATTTGACTTCGTCTCTGTAAATTCTCACGGTGCGTATCATCCAAAATATAAAAAGTTTATGTACTATATGAATAACTGTTTTTAGGGTTGTGGTTTGTTGAGAGAATCATCCCCAATATGTTTCAATAAATTATAGTGGTGTATCTACTTTGTGAAATCTGTTTGGCTTATTCATGGATGAATTTAATCCCAGTGCACATTTTGTAATTTTTGATTTAATTTGAAAAGAAAATGCCGGTGAATTGGTGTTTACCTTTTTGGGTGATTTATTCTCGTCTTTAATAATTTTTTTTTTAACAATTTCAAAAAGTTTAGTGTCAGTTTGATTTAATTTTTCAAAATTTATTTTTAAATGAGTTCTCGTTTAGTTTTTATGGTTTTTTTAATATTTCAATCAAATTTTTTTTTTGTTCTTTTTAGATGCATTTAATCATGATAAAATAATTTGATTAAAATATTTTAATATTCAAAAAAGACATTTAAGCCAAAAATTGTGAATTTTTTATTTTTAAACAAAAACATAATTTTTAAAATTCATATATACAAAACAAACTGAAAATTAAAAAAATCCACACAATTTGTTTACTTTTTTGGGTACGAAATATTTTTTTAACAATTTCAAAAAATTTAGTGTCAGTTTGATTTGATTTTTCAAATTTTTTTTTAAATGAGTTATTGTTTATTTTTTATGATTTTTAAAAATATTTTAATCAATTTTTTTTTGTTCTTTTTAGATGCACTTAATCATGATAAAATAATTTGATTAAAATGTTTTAATATTCAAAATTTCAAAAAAAAAAATTCAAAAAAGACAAATTTAAGCCAAAAATCGTTAATTTTTTATTTTTTATTTTTTATTTTTCAAAAAAAAAAAACATTATTTTTAAAATTCATATATACAAAACAAACTGAAAAGTAAAAAAATTCACATAATTTTTTTCAAAAAGTTACTAAAGACAAAATCCCAAACAGCATAAGCCACGTGAAAGCGATTCTTAACAACGCAAAAGACCATTTTTCCCTATAAAGATAAATAATTTAATTTCACATATAATTGTTACTATCATTTCCTACTTCTAAAAACAAAATAAGGTCACTTAGGAAGCACATGATAAAACAAGATAGTTTTGCTTATAAAATTAAAATTATGAGGGTCAACTTAAAAACTAGGAGTTTTTTTTTTTTTTTTTTAAATATTATAAAAAAACAAACTATTTAGCAAATTGACCCACTTTTCAAACTATTTGGAAAAGTAACTCAGTTTTGAAATCATATCTTGAACATGTACTTTCAAATTGAAATCACATCTTGAAAATGCACTTTCAAATTGAAATCGCATATTCAACATGCAATTTTAACTTGAAGTTGCATGTTGAAAATGCAATTTCAAGTCTACATGGACAGATTTAAAGTATAAGTTTGAAGTCTACATGGACAATGGCTTGCTGATGTGGCTTGAAATTGCATATTGAAAATTCAATTTCAAGTAATGAAATTGCATGTTCAAAATGCAATTTCAACTACAAATCTCTCAATTCGAAATCGCTTCAAATGATACACCTCTGATCTCTATCACGAGAGAGAGCTACCCCCACCTCCGATCTCTATCACGAGAGAGAGCTACCCCCCTTCACTTCAATGCCCGACTCCCTCAACTCCTCCACTTCACTCGGACGCTGTATTCTGTCTTTCCTTGGACTCCAACGCCCGACTTCCGACTCTGTCTATATTTCCATAATTATGATGGAAAAGTAAAAAAAAAACATATTTAATATGAAATTTTGATTCCAACCCTAATTAAGTTGGGATGGTTTGATTGAAGGCATAAAAAATTGAAAACTAGATTAGTTGGTTGATTTAGTTTTGAGTTTAACACTAACTGAATCAATTGAATCCATGTTCAGTCTTATGTACTACCTACCTCCATACTATACTTTATTGTAAGCAGGGCTTTGTACTAGCTGCAACCTATTTTCGGGCGACTTTGGATTATGATTCAAGCAATACTGTGGATTAGTTCGATCCGTACTTGCAGTTACTTGAAATCGCATCTTCAACATGCAACTTTCAATGAATTCGCATATTCAACATGCAACTTCAAATGATATAGCATCTTCATCATGCAACTTTCAATGAAATAACATCTTCAACATGTAACTTCAATTGCCCCGTGCGATTTTGTAGATCTTAAGTACGATTTGAATACACTTGAATTTCACCAGTTCTGTCCTGTCCTGTCGATTGTAAGTATGATTCACTCACTTTAAATTGCATGTTGAAAATGCAACTTCAGTTGAAATTGCATGTTCAACATGCAACTTTAATTCAAATCGCATCCTCAACATGCAACTTCAATTGATGTCCTATTCCCACCATGCAATTTCATTTGAAATCGCATGTTCAACATGCAACTTCAAATGAAATTACATGTTCAACACGCAACTTCAATTGTGCTACCCACTTGAAATTGCATGTTCAAAGTGCTCCTTCAATTCAAATCGCATGTTCAAAATGCAACTTCTCTTGAAATTGCATCTTAAACATGCAATTTCACCAACCATCACCTCTGTTGAGTATGATACAGTAAACATTTGCAGTACTATTTCTTCAGTTTAGTAAAATTTTTAAAAAAAAATCTTGTATGTACAAACTTGAACTGAAATTGTCGTTGAAATTGCATTTTTAACATGCAATTTCAAACCACATCAGCAAGCCATTGTCCATGTAGACTTCAAACTTATACTTCAAATCTGTCCATGTAGACTTGAAATTGCATTTTCAACATGCAACTTCAAGTTAAAATTGCATGTTGAATATGCAATTTTAATTTGAAAATGCATTTTCAAGATGCGATTTCAATTTGAAAGTACATGTTCAAGATGCGATTTCAAAACTGGGTTACTTTCTCAAATGGTTTGAAAAGTGGGTCAATTCGTTAAATAATTTGTTTTTTTAGAATATTAAAAAAAAAACTCTAAAAACTAGAGCAAAATTAGTGGAACTAAACTAAAGGATAATAATTGAGATGCAAGGTAAATTGGATAATAAAATGTTTTTAGACTTAATCATAAACAAATTAAAATTATGAGGGTCAACTTAAAAACTAGAGCAAAATTAGTGGGATTAAACAAAAGGATAATAATTGAGAAGCAAGGTAAATTGGATAATAAAATGTTCAAAATTATAGACATTTGGCCAGAAATAATATAAAAGACAATAACCAGATTTCAAAAGAACAAAATGGCACCACGATTAAATTATTAAAGAAGTTAAGATAAAAAACTATGAATCTTCTACCAAATTAAATATCAGAAATTGTCACTGAGCAAATTATGATATTTTCATGCAGGTCACCTAATCGATCCAAGATGCACCCAACACTTTAGCCATGAAACCATAGCGATCTGCAGCTTCATCAATCTGCAGTTAAGGAAGGCAATACCGCGGTCAAAACAAAAGAATTATACAAAGCTACTAAAGAATGAATCAACATTATTATCTGTGCCCAAAAAATTATATAAAAAAAAAAAAATCAACATCAATATCATGCATATACCATTTTTTGAGTTGGACGTCCAGCACCATGTCCAGCCTTGCATTCAATCCGGCCAATAATTGGGTTTGTCTGTGGGCTGACCTCCAAGCTTGTGCACAGAACATGTTGCATGGTCTGAAAAATGGAACACTTATTAACAAGATTGGCAAAATCAAGTAACATGCAAGCAAAAATGCATATAATTAGGGGCCCGCTGCCTGAGATGTTGAAACATATATTAAACACTAATGACTAAATGGAGCAATTGGAGGGGAAAAAGGGCTAACATTCACCATGTTTGGATTGTTTTGAATAGTTTCAGGGAAACCATATTAAAGGGGTTGAGTGGAGAAATGGCCCAGAGTCTGAGCACTTCTATTCCCTCCTAAATTGGGCCGGAGGGAAAGTGAAACATTTGCACCATGTGTGTAATCATCACTCATTTCATGTAGGATAGATATTTGTGTGCGTGTGCGTGTGAGAGAGAGAGAGAAAGAAGTAAAATAGCGGAATGACATAGTAAAACTATTATTAAAACTGTTGTGTGAATAAAAATGGTCTCATGATTGTACTAGAAAGTTGGAAGCCAGCTTCATTTTCCATAAATGACACCCTCAGGATGGTCATTAACAACTAACTTATCTTCTAAACAAATTGAACTCTAATTATCTTTGATAAGTGCAAATTGAATTCTATATAGAAAAAACTTGTCCTTCGGGAAAAAATCCTATGTAATTATTTGGCTACATTCAAGTGCAATTTTAAAGATTTGTAGTTTTCATATGCACTTCTATCATTTACCACCTAGCCCAGATTGTTTTCAATGTAAAAAAATTATAAAAAAAAATTGAATAATTTTTTTTTGTTTTCCTACTTTCCTTGTACTACCATTTTCTCTTTTCTTTCCATCCCCATTTATAATTTCATAATCAATTCAATTATAAATCCTCATATACATCTACCCTAGATGTTCCTAAATTCTTAATCACAAAGGTGGAAAAACACAATGATATCTATGAGCAGAACTGCAGTAAAAATAAATAAATAATTGAGCAAGAAACTGCACTACTCAACCTTCAGGTGCAAGGCATATCAGCAAATAACAAAGGGAAGCAAAACATAGTTTAGTAATTAGGAACGCACCGCCAATAACTTTAACGAGTGTAATGGCACAACCCGATCATCATGATCAGCTGTCAGAAGCATGGTAGATGGATACTGAGAAGACTGGTCAGGAGATTGTTCCCACGGTCTCCTAACATTATGTAGTGGCGAGTACCTGAGGAGAACATTTTAACAATGACGAGTTAAAATGAAAAAATAGTTAAGCAACTATGACCCTGCTGAGAGTTCAAGTGAAAAAAAAAGCCAAAAGAAACATGTTCCAGAAACCACCCAGTGCAAAAACAAAACAAAAACTATTTCTTTTCTATGACTCCATTAACTATCATGGGAAAGGAGCGGCTCATAAAAGTGAATAGATAAACACCAAACCAAGAAAGGAAGTTCATCAATAATGATGCCAGAACATGCTTCCTACTTGTCAGATGTTGGAATTTTTATGATGGCAAGGTGACATTCCACCGGAAATGCATATAAATCCATATCTCTCTCACCAACTTTGTCTCATTCTAAACCCCTGGTAAAGACAATCCCTCCCCTCTGCCCAGGATAGCTGGTGTTCTTAGCCTCCTCCCTCCGATAGTCACATAATTCTCAACATTTTCCCCAACTTATCATTCCAACTTGGCCAGCCGCATCCATTGATTATAATTGGCAGATCAGACTGACCATTTTTCTGAATGAACTGACTAATCAGAAAGTTGGAAACATTTAAAAACAGGAAATTAAGAGGCAAACAGTAAACAAAGAACTACTCATTTGTGAAGATTAGATTTTAACCAAAAAGCCATTCCCAAACACGACTTTTTTCACCTCATATTTTAGCCAAAAAGCCACTAAAAAGCCACTTTCCAACCCAAAATGAGCTACTCAGGAATGCATTCAACATATTTTCAGGTTGGAACACAGCCTGTAGACAATTTTCTTTGTGTGAAATAGATATCCCCTGACTTCCATAAATCCCTCCCCTCTGCCCAGGATAGCTGGTGTTCTTAGCCTCCTCCCTCCGATAATCACATAATTCTCGACATTTTCCCCAACTTATCATTCCAACTTGGTGAGCTGCATCCATTAATTATAATTGGCAGATCAGACTGACCACTTTTCTGAATGAACTGATTAATCAGAAAGTTGGAAACATTTGAAAACACGAAATTAAGAGGCAAACAGTAAACAAAGAACTACTCATTTGGGAAGATTAGATTTTAACCAAAAAGCCATTCCCAAACACGACTTTTTTCATCTCATATTTTAGCCAAAAAACCACTTTCCAACCAAAAATGAGCTACTCAAGAATACATTCAATATATTTTCAGGATGGAACACAGCCTGTAGACAATTTTCTTTGTGTGAAATAGATATCCCCCGACTTCCATAATTTTGGGACCCCAAAATATTGTTTGACGAATTGCAATACGAAAATCTCTTTCCCGATCTAATAAAATCGTTTCCCCCCCCCCCCTCCCCCCCCCCCCTTTTTTTTTTTCAATTTCTTGCCGTTTTTATCATTTCCAAGTTGTTCTTTCTTTGGAATAAATCCACGTGTCATTCTATAACTATTTTATTTCTTTATTAGAGAGGGAGGGCCCCTTATGGAGCGGGTTTATTTTTTTCTTATAACAGACTAAGAAGACTCTCGAGTCATTGAGCATATTAGAGAAGCATACTAAAAAGTGGATGTTGTTAGTTCTGACATGCGATCGTCCGCATTTTAGAAAATACTCTACTTATACAGTCCACTACATTTTAGTAACTCCAAAATGTAATTTCAAAATTGGATACATGGAATGGAATAATAGTGATTTAAGCAGTGTACAGTAAGACCGTAGTAAAAGAACTACTCAAGATTGCATTAACATATTTACATCAAACAAAAATATACTCCCTTCAAGTCAACTGTGTTTTATAATACTCTATATCACAAAAAATATATAATTTCCAAGTGGAACATTAATACAGTACAAATCCAATATTAAAGATTAGAAGCAATGAAATATACAGAAAAGTTGCAAGCAGATAATTCAACGAACATTCAATCACTCACTTGATTTGCCAATGGAACTCTTCCTCCTTCTCTGAGCAGCCATAGTCACTGGTCCATGCATGACCTAGAAAATAAACCTAAATCAGTAAATGACATAAATAATCTACCAATTGAACCACAGATTGCTGGCTGACCTATGGTGAACTTGTGAAATCTGAGCATATCCATAACACCGACATGAGCAAGAGCACAGCCAAAAAGATCAGGTCTCTGTAACCACAACATATTGCAATTTAGTATGTAGACTGGAAATATTACAATAAATAAATAAACACAAATATGCCATCAAAAAATGAACCGACACCATTACCTGATTAATGCAAGCCCCAACAAGAAGCCCACCATTGCTTCCACCTTCAATACACAATTTTTTTGATTGGGTATAACCAGAAGAAACAAGGAATTCAGCAGCAGAAATGAAGTCATCAAAGCAGTTCTGTTTTTTTGCAAGGGAACCAGCTTTATGCCATTCTTCTCCATACTCTCCACCACCACGAATGTTTGCCATGCAGAAGATAGCACCTAAATGCCTTGTAAGTACAACACGACTGACACTGAAATATGGTGTCATACTAATATTAAATCCACCGTATCCATATAACAAACAAGGATGTGATCCATCTAGAAGAATATTCTTTCTAGCCACAATGAACATTGGTATCTGAATTCCATCCTTACTAGGCACAAAAACCTGGAAATAAAAATCCAGTCAATAACCAGATACAGCAAGTGATTGCATGCAAAAAATCAAGTGAGTGTGCATTTCTTCCACCCTGGGGGGCAAGACAATTACACCAAGTCCGATATGAAATATACAGGAATTGTTTTTTACTCACCAAGTAACTGGGAAAGAAAATATTTGAGTTAAATGTACAATGGCAGAACTTAAAAGGCATGAGTTCCCAAGGCATTATTTATTTATTTATATATATATATTTTTTTTTTGGGGGGGGGGGCGCAAAAAAAATTTAATTAATTAGTTCGACTACTATAGTTGTCTGTATCATTCAATTAAACACGCCAAGGATAACTCCTTACTGAAAAACAATCAGATAATATTTAACATCTACACTTCATTCTACTTTGGGTGTCTCTTTTTCTTCTTTTTTTCAACACACACATTGAGGGGGAGGCACACTGTGCAGCAAGGCAAAATGGTGATAAGGCCTGAGTTAATTAAAACTGGAGCAAAAGGAAACATCTAGACTAGTAGCATGACCACCATGACTGAAAATTAATGCCCACATATGTTCCTATCACCCAAAATGAGACTAAAATTCCAAACTAAAACAAAAGAAAATTTATTAAAAGATAACCAAATGTTCTCCTACAAGTAAAGTGCTGACCTGATTAACATCAAATGCTGTACGATCAAATCCAGGAACAACAATTTCTCGGAATATCTTCATATTTGGAACACCAGTGTCCAATTCGCACTGGTATATAATACCTGGGGTAAGGAAGCTAGTAAACCCAATAAAAATTGTACTGTCTTCACGCCTAGCAGAAATCTCAGAAACTGAGCCAATGTCAATGGGTAAATGGTGTAGAATGGACCCCGTTTTCAAGTCTCTGAGCTGCAGAACATACTTCACATCACTCAAGTAACTCAATAGAATTTGATTACCATTAACAGCAACAGCTGATTCAAGCACATCCTTTTCAGCTTCTTGAACGACATCAGTCCAAGCACTTGGTTCCTTGAGATCTACTCGGACTAGCTTATATTTTGGAGCATCCTTATTAGTTCGAAAGGTAAAGATGGTATTGTCATTTGCAATGGTGCCATACTCTGCATCAAAATTGTCGATAAGCTTAACAAAGGGAAGTAGGTCCTTTCTTCCCCTGTAACCTTCAAGTCCATTAGCAAGTGCAGACATGTCACAGTAATAAACTTTATTGACCGGTTCACAAGTCTCCGTAGTGTACAGAAGAAGATACTGCACAAAAGTAAATATCGAACCAAAAAATGACTGAATGTTCATTTTAATGCATAGATTCAGTTGAAGAACACATGCATGTTGAGAATTTTCCAAGAGGTTAATGTAATTTTTTTTTTGTCAAAGACATAAATGCAAATCCTGCAACACGAATTTGTGCTGCCTTCTACTTCCCTGGATTTTTATTAATCTTTGTAGTTCTACTTCTCTACTGTTATCTGTAGTCAAAGGTGTGCTCATCTTTTTCCCATTATTTTAATAATTTGAGCAGCCCAAACCAACTAAACTGCACCGAACTGAACTGGTTCAATGCACAACAGTTTGGTTTGGTTGACAAAGCTGCTTGGTCTGTTTTGGTGTAAGCCAATAGAAAACCGAAAGGTTAGGTTTGGTGGCAGATTCTCCCTAAACATTGACTGAACCAAACTGATTATGCCCCTAATTTTGAAGAGTGTGCCTACTTGATCAATGCACTTGAAATAAAAATGTTAAATTGAACAGCCATAATTAAGCTCCATGGAAGAGAAACTACATTTTGAAACTTTAATAGACTCGGTAGGACCCTAATCTAGCAAGTCTCCTGGCCATCCACATGGTTCAAATGATGAAGGTGAGGAGAGACGATAAGATAAAATTTCACTACGCTTACATTGCTTGAGGAAAATAAGAATGGTGTTACCATCAAAGTCTCTTAAACATCTATACAAAGTTGACTTGTACTAAAGAGCAATTTCCAAAATTAGAGCTATGACAATAAATTTCCATATTTTTCCTTCAAAGAATTCACCTGACCTGATATAAATACAAAATCTTGACATACATTAACAACAATAGGGAAAAACAAAAACCAAAAGTCCAAAAGCTAAACAAGAATCTCAATTACTGCAGCTTCTACTAGCTGAAAATAGTTTTTCTGACGATCAAAGAATAGTTCCGATTATGTTTAATCTAGTGATTTTTTGGGGCAGTAGAGTGGGAGTTTTGTTTATGCAAAATGCAAAAATAAATACATACCAGTTAGTTCCAATCTTTGAGATTTTCACATTACTTCAACAGAAGCACCATAAGAAAATGGAAACTAAAACTTGCACCAGAATATCAGAACTACTCCCCACCTAACTGTACAAACTACAATATGTTACAAGTAGAAAGCATTTTACCTTCCCATCATCTGTTACACTAGTGCCAAATGAGTACTTCGGGTTTTCAGAATCTCTCCAACACAAAATATCTTCAGATTGATCGGTACCCAAGAAATGATAGTACACCTCATGATTCAAGTTGACATTTGTCTCAGTTCCAGCATCCAAATTTTCACCCTCCCTGCAAACATCACACTTTCCATCATTGTCTTTGGGTTGTCAAATTCACGATTTACAGATGATTTTTATCCTGTAAACTAAACTATTTTTCTCAGGCAGAATTGCTAAGATTACATGTGAAGATTAAGGGAACCAATTACAAAAGTATTCTAAATAAACCAAAAGAAACTTGACCATAATTCATTCCGTGCATGTAAAACCACATATAATCCAACATCTTCCCCAAACATTCAAAATTTAAAAAACTGCAAGGGATTTATCTACTAAAAAAGCAAAAAACAAATGTCTTAGCTTTGGTCCCCGTCCCAGCATCCGATTTTTCTGTCCTTGCAATACAAAACTATTGCCATCACGGTTATTTTTTCTTTACTTTCCCAAATATCATTCTTTTTCCTTTTTCAAATTTCTTTTTCTCAGGCCAGATTTTCTGCGACTACAGGTGAAAATTTTGCAAATCAATCCATATAGCAGCATCCTAACTAAACCTCATGCGACTCAGACCATATCTCATTGATCACTGTTACAATGACATACACTTCAACAGGCTAAACATCAGGAATTTAAAATTAAAAAATGCTAAAAATGAAAAAAGAAAAAGAAAGGGCCAAACTTATCAAACTTTTTCACACCCTAGTACTAATGTGAGACATCCAAGTGAATATTACTATTCATGTCCATTATTTTACTTACTTGGGAGCTGGGTAGCGGCTATAGAAAAAACCTTTGTTATCATGGGTCCAGCTAACACTTGAAAACTTAACCTGTAACATAATAGACAAAAATGGAGACACGTCTTATGTACATATATATATATATATAAACGCAAAAAAGTGCTTACCGTTCAATATATTGATTTCACCATTCATTTTTATGTTGTATTGAAAAGTTGAGGAAATTTGTAATACTCACCCAGGACAAAGTATCAGGCTCGACCTTCTTATCCTCAACCTGCATAACTTTAATAGTGACCCAATCACTTCCACTTGAACTTAGCCCATATCCCAAGTACTTAGCATTTTTGCTAACATCATAAATGTTCAGTGAAACTGTTCCATCCTCACTGAGTCCATTTGGATCAAGCAAAACCTGTGGTTCTCCATCCAAGCTATCCTGAAAGAAAATTCAAGGAAAGACAAGGGAACCAATGAATCTATAACCAAAATTTAACTTATTATGAAACAAAATACCAATATATTGTGCAAATAATTGCAAAAACGTGGCACATATTACCTTCTTTTTTTTTTCTTCTAATCTCATGATTATATCATATCGTGTATCATAAGATTTTTAAACATATTTAGAACTATGAAGAAAAATAAGTATAAACATAGAAAACATGCATACCTTGCAAGAGCAAATCACTATGCAATGTAAAATTAATAACATGACAAAAAGTATAGCTCTTAAAAACAAAGTTTTAAAGGGCTTTTGAGGCTTGCCTCTAAGTGAGGATAATGAAAGACACATCAAGGCTTTGATTTTTAGGCAAGATTGGCACAAGTTTGTGCATCACAGTCTGAGAAGTGTGCCGCCTTATGAGCCTTTTGCACATAAGCATATTACAAGTACGCATATGGAGAGCATGTCTTGAGCTTTTGTTAAACTTAGCATATTATTAAAAAATAAATAAATAAATAAAAAGGAAGAAAAAAAAAAAAAGCTATTTCATAACTATATTACATTTAAAAAAAAAAAATGAAGTAAATGATCAACCAAGAAAAAATACAAAGCTAAGGCTCAAGTGAGAAGCTCGATAACTAAAGTTAGAAATGTCAATTTCAGCTTGAATGACAGCAAGCCCCTTTTCCTATAGTAAAATGTTCGACACATTGAGGAGAAACATATTTACACCCTAATATAAAAATTCAAGATGCTTACACCTCAACACCTTGACGATTACGCCTCATTTCGTGAGGGGTAAAGTACCTCTTGGCACGCATTTGCTCTTAAAAACTTTGCTTAAAAGGAAAAAACATGCATGCATCAAAGCTCAATTCAAGAAACTGAAGAGTGAACATAAAATTTAACAACAGATATAGCACTTTATTGACTAAGATTGAAATAAATACCATGTTTTAGTCCGTAGTGCCAACATCAAATATTCGAAAACTCTATTACAAAGCAGAAGTACAGTTACTAACTAGGGAGTGACCTAACAAATTTTCAAGTTAGTCCCAGCACCAATATAGAATGAAAGCAAACAAGAATTATTTCTATGTATAACCACAAAGCAGACTATAATATGTTTATTGTGATGTGTTCATGCACCATTTAGATTTCAATTTCTAGTTTACAAATTCAAAATATGCATTCTATGAAGTACGATTGTGAAAACCTGCATGTAGAGGACATCCTGAGCTTGAAGACCAGTGTTATGAAAGTAAAAGTATTTGTCCCCTCGTCTGAAAGGCGCATTATAACGAGGATGATCGAAAAGCTCTGTGATCTTCTCGCGAAGCTTTTCTCTCGTATCACACTTCTGAAGCACCGACTCTGTCAATTTCACTTGCTTTTCTACAAAATCTTTAACCTCCTCGGCGTCTGGATCTTCCAGCCTGCACAAAATATACAAAAATTAACATTTCTAGAGGAAATTCTATTCAATAATTGCTAAACAAACGGAGATTAATTCAATGAGATTTGATTTTGACTTTGATTTTGATTTTGATTTTGATTACGATACCATCGATAAGGATCTGAGATGAGAACACCGTGATAGTTGTCGACGATAGACTCGTCTCTGCGAATGTGTGGATATTGCAATGGCTCGTCTAGGGCACAGAGCGAACCCATTCTAGGGTTTGAGGGCAGAGATTTTTGGGGTTGGTTGCTTCGTTTGTAAGCAGGTAAGGTAAGACTTGAGCGGAGACCCAAGTTCGTGAGCCGACGAGTGATTTGGGTATAAATAGATGACTTGGGGGAGAAAAACAGTAGCGCACGCGTAGCGGGCGCTGGAGAGCATGGTTACCTGACAGATAAGTGGCCTTTCAATGGAGAAATTATTCATTGCTCCAGGGCACCACGTCAGATGTGACAGGTGTGTCCCACACCAATCAAAATTAGCCATCTTAGCATGATGTCAGGGAATCACACCACGTCAACCAAAACGGGTTAACCAAACGGAGACCGCTAGATAAAAATTTAAGTAAAAATTATATTTGATTATAATTTCTCAACAGCACCCAACTGTGGAATACTGAAAGCTCTCAAGCGTCCTCTATTTAGAAAAACATATTTAATATTCTCAATTTGATATCGATTTGATTATATCGTTAGAGTTAGAAAAAAAATTATTTTTCATCAAATTTAAATTTGATGACAAGTTTAATACACGGTTGGAGATGGTCTTACTCTCTTCAAAGTAACATTTTATTTTCCCAATTTCTCCAGTTGCACTATTGTGCTGTCTATGACCACACCATCGGAAACCACCACAACAATGGAGAAGATATGGGCTTAGTTGAAGAGAAACTCCCATTGTGTGTCGTGAGATCTCATAATGGTTCTCACCATCATCCACTACTATGAATTGACAGCCAACACTGTCCATAATAACCACTATAATGCACTATTGCATTTTATTTTCTTCTTTTATCTTGATTTTGGCAACAAATATACAAGTATTTGATTTAAAATCTGGATTACATAATACACTGCAAGTGTTTGTAAAAATGTCTGAATAAATATGGTGTTTCATTTTGGTTAACATGTTTTTCGTCCTTTAGGTTGATTCCTTCATATACAAATGTAAATATTTTATGGACTATGTAGGTTGTTGCTTTGGTGCAAGTGGTGGTGTTGATAGTGCAAGTGACACAGATCTAACTGATTCTAAAGGTGGAACGAGTTGTTGACGTTCTTAGCCTCCGTTTGGAAAGTGGGTTGGCTTTTTAGCTTTTTGGCTATTTTAGCCTGGGCTATTTTAGCCTGGTTTGGGAAGGACTTTTTGGCTTTTTGACTTTTTTGACTTTTTTTGTAAGAGAGGATTGTAATGATTATGGGTTGGATTTGATGTTTTGTTTTTTGTGGCTAAAATAGCCTATTTTGTTTTTTGTGGCTATTTTAGCCCCTAACCCACCCAAACCTTCTTGCCAAACAACCCCTTAGTTGCTTGTGTTTTGTTTATTTATTTATTTTTTGGAGCATGCAAAATGCGAGAAAGATGGGAAGAGGAAGTAGTGTAGCCAATTATATAAGGTTTAGTTAGTGAGAGAAAGGAATGCTAAAATTAGACCCGTGCTCAATTTTAATAATGTTTTGTCTTTGTAAACCAATTGAACATTTGATTTGATTAATTGGTTGGATGCCTCTTTATGGTGCAATGTTCTACCTTTTTATTTCATATACATCCCTTGTACATATACACATATATATTCAAGATTGATAAATGAATTGTGAAATTTTTTTTTCATTGTAGTGTCAATGTATAAATCTTTATACATCTGCCCACTTTGGCTAATATTTTTTATCTTTAGATTTTCTCTCCCATTAATATATATCAGTATGCACCAAGGCAAAAAATTCAATTAAAAAAAAAAAACATTTGTTATAGGTCCATGCATTTTGAGAACAAGATCAAAATAATCCAAAAACCCTAGCTTCTTTGATATTTTGTAATAAGGATAACCTTTGAAAAAATGCTTAGAACCAAATTCATACTTGTTCAAGTAAGTAATATTGGGTGGGAAATGGAGAGAGGGGGGGCTTTGTCAAATTTAAATTTGAGAAAAAAACAAATCCCTATGGAGAGCAAAATGTTTTTTTATCATTGTCATACTAGATGCTGTTTTGATATTTAGTTTTGATAAAAATGGACTTGCAAAAACAAGTTGACAAGATGACCTAATAAATTACAATGCTCAATTTTTTTTCACTTAGTCATGTTGAATTGTAATCTTAAGGCACTGTTTGTTTGGGGTTATAGAAAGGGATTGGGATTGATAGTGAGGTGGGACCCACTATCTTTGTGTTTGTTTTGGGAGATAGAAAAGGGATTTGTAATTCGGAGCGTTGCGCTTCCAATGCCTCTAATCATTGGCTTTACCTGATAGAACTCACACCCGAGCTCCAGCTATCATGAGAGAAACTTCAGAGGGAACCAGCTACTAGACGGTTCGATTAGTCTTTTGCTCCTATACCCAAGTCAGACGAACGATTTGCACGTCAGTATTGCCGTGGGCCTCCACCAGAGTTTCCTCTAGCTTCGCCCCGCTTAGGCATAGTTCACCATCTTTCGGGTCCTGACAAGCATGCTCACACTCGAACCCTTCTTAGAAGATCAAGGTCGGTCGACGGTGCAACCCACAAGGGGATCCCATCAATCAGCTTCCTTGCACCTTATGAGTTTATTCACCCATTGACTCGTACACATTCAGATTTCTTGGTTTGGGTTTCAAGTCGGGCCAAATGGAGACCTCGCAAGCCGGTGCCAGGAGCGCGCAGATGCCGAAGCACGCCCGAGGGCGCACGCTGCCAGCTACGATCGAGTCGAAGGCGTCTCATTGGGCTTTTCAACTGCTCGGGCTTTGGCCTCCGCCCCAATTTGCATCGGTCCACGCACTAAGTCGATCGGTAGATCGACTAGTTACCGTTCCACATCCGACCGGGGTGTATCGCCAGCCCCCATCCGCTTTCCTCTCGACAATTTCAAGCACTCTTTGACTCTCTTTTCAAAGTCCTTTTCATTTTTCCCTCGCGGTACGTGTTTGCTATCGGTCTTTCTCCCGTATTTAGCCTTGGATGGAATTTACCGCCCAATTAGGGCTGCATTCCCAAGCAACCTGACTCATAGACAGCGTCTCGTGGTGCGACAGGGCCCGGGCACGACGGGGATCTCACTTTCTCCGGCGCCCCTTTCCAGGGGACTTGGGCCCAGTCCGCCGCTAAGGACGCTTCTCCAAACTACAATTCGAACAACGGGGTTGCTCGATTTTTAAGTTGGGCACTTCCCGGTTCGCTCGCCGTTACTAGGGGAATCCTTGTAAGTTTTTTTCTTCCGCTTATTGATATACTTAAACTCAACGGGTAATCCTGCCTGACCTGGGGTCACGATCGGAGCACCTTGGCAGCAGCGCGATAGGGTGACAACAGATCTCCTGCGATGACTCGAACGCACGCAAGACGACGCAACGATTTGTCAACCACCACTCGTCGCGACGCGTCATTTATTGCGGGGGACTCGTTTTTAGGCCGACCCAACATCCGCCAGCAACCCTTCCCTTTGAGGGAAGGGGATACGGGCGACGCAATGTAAAATGCCCAGGCAGACGTGCCCTCAACCTAATGGCTTCGGGCGCAACTTGCATTCAAAGACTCGATGGTTCACGAGATTCTACAATTCAGACCAAGTATCGCATTTCGCTACGTTCTTCATCGATGCGAGAACCGAGATATCCATTGCCGAGAGTCGTTTAGTTTTTTCGTGAGATGCAACATATGAGTGTGCTCTCTTTGTTCGAGTTCCTTGGCGCGATTCACGCCGAGGTTTGTTGTTTTGCTGGGAAATGGCACTCGTCGCTCCTGGCGGGGCCCTGGGCACACTCCCGATGAGGGGCAACAGAAGGGAGCCGACAGCCTGCCTCCTGCTTCCCTGCAGTAATATGACAAGTTTGCTTGTCGTTTTGCTACGCAGGGGCATCGACAATGATCCTTCCACAGGTTCATCTACAGAAACCTTGTTACGACTTCTCCTTTCTCAAAATGATAAGGTTCAGTGGACTTCTTATGACATCACCGGTAGCGAACCACTCACATCGCCGTGATCTGAACACTTCACTGGACCATTCAATCGGTAAGAGCGACGGGCGGTGTGCACAAAGGGCAAGGACGTAGTCAACGCGAGCTGATGACTTGCGCTTACTAGGAATTCCTCGTTGAAGACCAACAATTGCAATGATCTATCCCCATCACGATGAAATTTCAAAGATTACCCGGGCCTGTCGGCTAAGGCTATTGACTCATTGAATACATCAGTGTAGCGTGCGTGCGGCCCAGAACATCTAAGGGCATCACAAACCTGATCATAATCCCCTCTGGATTATGAATCCCCTTAGGGAGGGGATTTGGATGAGCCTCCACCACTTGGTATTAGAAAAATAATCCTTCGAACTATTTTTTATTTTTATTTATTTTTTTATTTTTTACATGTTGGGCATTTTTTTTTTGAACATTAATATTTAATTTTTTGTATTTTTTGTTAAGTAAAAATCATTGTTTTATTTGTTTTATTTTTTTTTGGAAATCTTTTTATTTTTTATTTTTAATTTTTTGCATGTTGGGCATTTTTTTTAACATTAATGTTAATGTTTTTGTATTTTTATTATTTTGTAATTATGTTATATAAAAATAATTTAACAATCCCTTCACCAACAACTATCATCAAAATAAATACAATTTTACTTAATCCCCTCACTATCAATCCCTTCTATTTTACCTCTGAAAACAAACAAACTTTACAAATATTATTGATTATCTTACCTCTTATCAACAAATTGATATTTGTCTAATTCAAAACACACAGGTTGCAGATTTTATTTTGGGTAAATTACACTTACCTCCCTTTGAGATTTCTGACAAATATAAGGACCTACCTCCCTTACTTTAGCTGACAATATCAAGATTCTCCCAATCCATTAATTTTATACAAATGACGTTACTTGATTATACAAAATGAACATATTGCCCTTTCATTTGAACACAAAAAGATGAAAATACCCTTTAATTCCTATATCTCTCATACCTACCTCACCAACACCATGTTCTACCCCACTCTCTCTCTTTCCTTTTGCCTCTTCTCTCCTATCTATAATCTCTTCGGCCACCACCAATACAACTGCCTCTAGCGATCCCAAAGCCCACCGACGATTATTCTCCTTAACCCCCTTCCTTCAATGGCAACCTCTCTTCTCTCTCCTTCTCGTCGCCCTTGCTCGTCTATCGCTATGGCCAGATTTGGAAAAATATAGGTGAGAAGGTGAGAGGGATGAG